CCCACACCGGATAAACTGGACTGACCCCGGACTGACTCAAATTACAGTTGCTAATTAGCCATTACGCCACTGTGACTGATAACCATGTCCATTACGATGTGACGCAAATTGTAACTCCCAGTTAACACCCACTCCAGATTACTATATAACTGTATCAGCACTTTGAAACGCTTACTGTTCTTTGCAAATTTCTCTCAAGTCTGACGACGACCTGGGGATCCAGTGTCGAAAATTTACTGAATAAAATTACTCATTTTCCCAGAGGATGCCTGTCCTTGAAATAACATTTCTTAGGATGCCTGTCTTTCAGTTTATACGAAATTAAAATGTATGCTTGGTAGACATTTTTCAAGCTGATTATGATGTCATTTATTAAGAAACAAACCTAAGGCGAATGAAGAACCTGCTTATTTAGATTAGCTCCTGCCCATTGGTGCTGAGGTACGTTGAGTTTGCAAACATACCGTTTGCAAAATGACACAATTTTTGAATTTTTCCATTAAAAGGATAGTTTAATGTTTCTCCCTCTGAAACACCTAGGTTCTGCTGAGTCTCAAGTCTCAATGATCCATTGAAAAGAGCCAATCAAAATGCTTCCGGTGCTACTTTAACTCTGGATTTGCTTAGCGAAATTTAAAATTTTGGGACTTCCGGTTTCCTGTATTTTCAATACCTCAGTTGATGGCTAGCGGAAATAATTTGAAAATGGAGTGAACAGAAGTCCCTCTTCCCTCTACAAAGCCATCAATATACTTTCCTTGGCATAAAAGTTAATGCATATAATTTTTCTAACTTAAATTTCGGCTGATTGCATTTCTGCACAACTATGATATTTATTAATTCCATTCAAAATCTTCACCGTGTCTGTTCGAGATATGCATAAGATATTATTGAAATGAAGATACCAATGGCATTTAGCAAAGCAAAGTTTTACTGAATTTTTTAAAAGAATAATTTGTGTGAACAACAACAACGAAAGCCTGAGCCAATAGCAATGCAAAATTGTAGACAAAAGAAAATGATATTGCAGCTGGTGCTTCTAGTACTTTTCGTTGACGCCAACACATAGGTTTCCTCCACGATAAAGTCCTGGATTATTGAATACTAACAACTGTGGCTCCCCACATTTGGGGGTAATTTTTTACTACCATAATTTTCAAAACTGAGGACAGCTTGGGTTCGCAAAGTTGAGAGTTGCGGGATAGAAATCGGAGAACTTAGCGTTACTCACCGGAACAGTATTTAGTGCGTGCTAACTCTTGGGCATTGGAGAGCCGACCAACATCCCCGAAACGTCAGGACGAAAAAAGGACTGTTTCGGAGACCAAAATCAAGTATTCAAATTTACACAGAGCTTGGCCATCGGCTCACTTATTGGCTGTCATGAATTATACAGCTTGCCGTTCTTGACAGAAAATTCAACAGAACTCAGATCAAGAAAAGTAGCTAACGCGTTTCTAAGCGCTAAATCCAAACCAAACAACATCTCCAATAGTGCCCTCAATGATACTTTTAAAAAGGTAGGACCTCATAATGGTCTTTTCAGTTACGAGTTTTACCTGGGCAAGGCAGGTTTGGGAATGAAAACGCCGTTTCGTCAAGCCACCCCCTTCTAGTAAGGATGGCCATTATCGTGTAAACGACATACGCTGAAATTTATGGGAAATTATAGGTTTAAGAGTTTATCGGTTTCGTGATTTTTTCCTTTTTGATTTCCAAACTTTCCAAAAACTCCAAATGAAAAATCCAGAAGATTAATTGACGAAAATTGGTTTTTTCGATAAATTCTCGTCAGGCTTTTACATTTAGACGGTCGCACGAGCCGGCCTTTATCCAAAAGAGTACGAGAACACATTCCAGCACGGTAAGGAAAGGGCCAATTAAAGGGCATAAACAGTTCCATTCTAGCTTACCTGGTAGACTCAGAAAATCGCATGGATGTGAAAGTGGTTTTCCGAGTGATCTACAAGGTACCCTCAAACTATTCAAAATTTCTTGGACAGCGTCTGTTGGCTACGGCTGAAGCGACCGCCATCAGGCTACGCCGACCGGTCCTGTGCGCCCAAAAGAACTTCCTCGTGGCGCCGCAGTTAACATGATTAAATGCTGCTAATCCCAAAAGCCAGCAGTTCATCACCTCGGCCGACTAATAGTCCCCCCTTACGCTGATCAGATTTTGACTCCGATTCTCCCCCCTCCCCTTTCCTTGACAACCGTACTGTTTTTTCTACCAGCCTTTATAGTTTATTTACTTAAGTACCATATAAATGCAAAGGCCTGACGAGAATTTATCGAAAACAAACGTTTTCTCGCCAATTCATCTTCTGGATTTCCAAACTGTTAACTAGACAACACATTTAAGCAAGACAGTATGCATACCAATTCAAGGGACTTCCTCTATCAACCGTACATTGTAGCG